ATTATTCCTCAAAAATACAACTTGCCTAATAATTCTGCACTCCCTGTACTGTACATCCTGTACCTTAGCCTGTGTAGTGATATTGACAACAAAAATAATTAAAAATACACTTACCCATCGGGGCGCCGGAAACTGGTAGATTGCAGGTATGCCAGTTTACCAGTCCAGCTCTGGCTGGTAAACCAAACCAGATTAATAAATCTGCCCTAAATATTATTATGAGAGTTGTGAAAACTCATTTTGTCGTTATTGATTTTCTGGCACGGAATACCTTTGAAGTAGCAAATAAATTACGATCGATTAAACTTACTATCAATATGTTTTTTTCCTCTTATGAAATAAAAGTGTCGGAGTTTCGAGCCTGTGCGGTTTCGCCAAACTTGCCGTCGAGAATTTTCAAAGTAAAAGCCATCTAAAGCGTCAAAAACTAATTGTTAACATGCCAATTTTTACTGTCTTGATTTTAATTCGACAATAAATAAACAAACAGACTTCTGTGACCTCACTGTTATTGCCATGTTCATAAGAAAAGATGTGCTTATAGATCATGATTGTAAATTGTCTGTGAATGGAAGAAGGCTGGCAGTGGGCTGGAATATGCATTCAGTGTGGAGGCCACGTGTGTGGAAGATCTACAGCAAGTAGTTTCGCGTTAAGGGGTTCAGATCAGACCCCTTCCTCTAAGACGTGTTGGCTCTGGATGTGCTCCCGTCCCATCGTGTATCCGGTGAGTTTAAATATTTAACTCTGTGTAGGTGTTCTTATCAGCATCACATATCGGACTGCGTGTTTCGGCATGCAGTCTGTGATTTTGGCTTCAAACCGAAAATAAAATTTAATTAAAAACAAAAAAAAAACCCTGACGGCTATAGGACGATATCAATGAGGTTACTTAAAAAAACAAAAACCTTCCATTAACTCTCTAACATTAGTTTGTTTCAGTCACCCTTTACGTACAGTTAAACAGCACCCAGAACCACAGCCTCTGAAACGAAACTCGAGCTTAATTAACAACTCCATAAAGCCAACGTGCTTCTGCTCTGATCTGATCTGAATTAAACAACTGCTTATTATTTTATCTGAAATAATCAGAAATTTCGAGGGTGGAAAAATGCGCCTTGTAGGAGTCAAAATCGAAAGTGAGAAAAACTATGCTACAGTCAGCGAGGCAGGTGAAGATCAGAACAAAAGGAGTAGGCTACAGCAAAGGACTTCAACAATTGGGACATTAAGCAGATGCTGTCAGAACTGCCTAAAGGATTACGCACACACCCCTATATAAACTGTTACTTGATTTAAATATGACTGCTGAATTTTTGTGTATTCTCTGGTCTTACTGGTTTTTAATCATACTCTGGTCGCTATGCTTTGCCTCAATTTGATTTGGTGAACAATAAATCCCAACATTTTCTTCTGTTTTGTTTTTGCATTAGATAATTATTTCTTTGTTGCCTTTTCAGACTGAACACTGTTCCTACACATCCATTTCCTGCTACCACTGCTGTCATGAGTGAAATGTACTACGTCTTTCTCGTTGGTATCTTGTCATTCTTTATCAGCTTCTGCAGCTACTTGTGCAAGATTGCTGCCAATGGAGAAGAGTGTAAGTACTCCATCACCACTAACAGGTGATACTTATAGCTGCACTCCTTCATTTCATGTACAACGGCCAAAGCTGTAACATTTCTTATCTCTTGTTACTTGTATGCTTACAGCTGAGGTGGCTACCGCTACTCAAACCTCTCATTCCCACCAGAGAGCCTCCTACCAGCCAACACCAGCAGAGCTCATGACCACATCACCAAACCATGAACAACCATTCCCACAAAAACCACCACCATCGTATGAGGAAACAAGTTAGTGTGTCCAAAATATATTAGTATTGATAAGTGAAATATTGATGTCAGCTTTTCTACAGGCATCCAGACTCTGTTGACTCACTGCAGAGCAGAGAAACTTGGGTGCAACGCAGTGTAATCAGTGTCCTGCCGAACACAGAAATGATGAAAAAGAAACATGACACAAATTAGAGCAAAATTCAACATGTTTTTGAATTTGACTGAATCTAAATTAGGACAACTTTTCTTTCAATTAAAGATAATAACTCTTAAAATGAATGCATAACTTTCTGATATTGAAGCTAATTTGTTACTTTAAGAGTGGTGCATTCTCAAATAGATCTGCAAATTATTGAACAAAGATTAAGAGTTGCACAAAAGCACACTGACCTACAGTGAAAACACATTATATTAAGTTTGCAGATTAAGACACAATATTGTAGTTTCTTTCTCTTCAGAATATTTGTCATCTAATGCTAAGGTTCAAATTGCTGCTGTGTAATATTTTACTTATTCTTGCTGTTAAATTTATTTTTAGTGTGACTGTGGTCTCACGCTAAGTTCTCTTTCTTTTTCCAGTTGGTACACTCCACCTGATGCCTTCCAGCCAGACTGTGTCCATCCCCAGCGATCCACTGTACCCTTCAGAGGGTATTGTGCATGAGTACAACGGTCTACTGGATAGCACCGACTTCCTAACGAGCTCTGCATGCGACCCTGAGTTTGTTCTACCCTAGACTTAATAGTCACAGTGCCACAACCAGACACATAAATGATTCAACATATTTGGCACAAATGGCAGAATTGGAATGAAGATGAGAAACTGCAGAGTAACTTGGTTCATGTATTTTAGTGGCTAAAGGTAGAAATGCTGGGACAGTACAGCTGCATCAGTGAGAACAATAACACTTGTTTTTGTTTGTTAAGGTAAAGTATCTCAGTTGGTTTTACAGAAACTTCTTTTCAATCTCTTTCCAGTAGCAGAGCACTTTATTTTCAGTTGTTTAAGTGAGAAAAAAAGATCGTGTAACTTACTGCAGTTTGGGGATGATTGTGAAGTTTAATAACTTCTTTTATTATTTTGTTATATTCTTTTATTATGAAAATTATTTTTTTCATTGAAGGAAAGTTTATTTGTTTTCTTGTGGTGTCACCTATAGTTCCTAGAAAAACCTTTGAAGTGCCTTGAACCTTTTCCCCTCTGTATTTGTGTGGATTACCTTCTAAGTCTGTTGGAAACAAAGAGTGAAACGTTCATCACTGAGGGTTTATTCTGGATTCATTTTCCTTAAAACCTCAAGTTGTTTTTCGCCTACCAGCACATATAAAAACAGTTTGACAAAATAAGCCTCCTCTCGTTTATCTTAAATTGGGTGCTGATTACACTGTATTATTGCTGTTAGGACATCACTCGCTCCCTTATTGGATGTGTTCAATTCTGTAATTTACCCCCTGTTGTGTGTTGTGTGATAATTATTGAAATCAACTGACTGCGTCTTTCACTTACACCCCCCCCCCCCCAAATAAATAAATAAATAAATAATTCTCCCCCAAATATTTTCCGCTCACGTTTAGCATTTTTGAGAATTTACCCTGAGGCTCTTTGGTTAACCCAGAGGGCTTTGCACTAATAAATCGGCTGTGACAACTCATTTTGTGTTTGTCTTGACTTTCTTTCGTGGAATATCCTTAAAGTGAAAATTTAATCGACCTGTTAAGCTTACTATGATTTCTTTCTTTCTTTCTTTCTTTCTTTCTTTCGTACTTTCTTTCTTTCTTTCTTTCTTTCTTTCTTTCTTTCTTTCTTTCTTTCTTTCCTCACTTGAAATAAAAGTGGCCCAGTCGCTCCGGTGCGGTTCCGCAAACCGGAAGAGTATTTTCAAAATAAAAGCCGATTAGTAATCGATTAGCCGATTAGTAATCGATTAGCAGCCTACCAATTCTTACTGTCTTGTTTTCAGTAATAATAATAATTATTATCTTTATTATTACTATTATTATTATATTAAAGATGAAAATGAAATAAATACCGACGTCCGGTCCCCAGTGACCTCATTGTTGTTCATAAAGACCGTGTATAAAGACATACTTATAGATCATGAATATAAATAGTCTGTGAATGAAAAAAGTGGGCTGGGACATGAACTGAGCAAGGTGGCACATTTAGAAGATCTTTGCAGCAGTAGTTCCTGACCAGACTTCCCTAAAACTGTCATTGCTGGCTTCGTGTGTGATCCTGTCCCCTTGTGTATCCGGTAAGTTTGATCATTGAAATTTGTAAACACTTGTTGTTCTTGTCAGCATCAGCTCATCTGTCTCATGCAGTCTGTGATGTTGGCTTCAAACCGAAAATAAAAGCAGTCCGTTATTGGTGCGATGCCAGTGAGGTTATTTTTTTTTAACGTTACCGTTTGTGTTTTAAACCTTTCACTAACACTATAACATTGGGGGGGGGGGGGGGTTCCACCTTATTTTTCTGTACGTGCAGTTCAGCAGCGCTCAGAACCACAGCCTCTGAAACGGAACTCAAGTTTAATCAACAACCTCTTAAAACCAACGCTGAGCAGTGAATCGTCATAACTAATAACTAATTCTTTTATATGATATTTCCATCTCCTGTCCTTTAAATGTATGTTTTTTTTAACGAGGAGCACTTTGTCAAGTTGAACAAGAAAAAAAAATAGCAACTTTGTTTATTTTTCTATTTTATCCTGCAATCGATAATAAATCACCCTTAAGACAGTCGTGTAAGGTAAATCATTTCTCTTTTAAATGGTTCCCTTTCCCCCTTTTTCTCTATGTGCAATTACAGCAGAGGAACAGAGAGGTGTGTGTGTGCATGCGTGTTGTAAACTCCGATTGGTGTTGAGAAACAGGACGTGAAACCTGAAGTCCACCTAAAGGTTGAGCCACAGAGTTGTTGTTTTTGTTGTTGGTGGTGGGGGTTTGTTGTTTGTTAGATTGTTTCCCACATTATCGCTAACTTTCCTAAACTATGTGTCTCTACATGCCTGCTGGAGGATTGACAGGGTTCCTCCTGGCCTTGACATGACTTAAAATACATTGAATTTAGTTTTTTGCTTGCATGTAGCAACCTCTATCTAGTGCAGGTTGTGCTATTTCAACTATTGTCATTTCATTGTGCTTGGAAGTACTGAAAATTGCACACTGTTATTCTCCAGGCTACTAAAGAGGGCCTCCATAAAAGTCACGGGGGGAAAGTGCCTTTCCCAGTAATATTTAAAGGTATCTTGTAGGAGTCAAAATGAAAAGTGAGAACAAACTATGCGACAGTCAGCCAGGCAAGAATCAAAACAAAAGTATAAGGAGTACAAGACTTCAACTTTCAGGATATTAAGCAGATCTTGTCAGAAGATCATACAGGACTGGACTGAGGAAGGAGCACACACTGACACCACCCCTATACAAACTGTTAGCTGGTTAAAATATGACTCTTTTCAATGTAACAATTTCTTCTTCTGTTTAATGTTTTGCACAATAATTTCTTTGTTTTCTTTTCAGGTTGAACTCCCATCATACACTTCCACTTCTCCCTGTTATTGCTGTCATGAATGACTTTAACTTACTCTATGTTATACTCGGCATTGTCTTCTGGTGCTGTTTCTTCACCTGCAGCTGTCTGTGCAGGAGCGCTGCCAATCCAAACTGTAAGTACTCCATGGCCAACAGCTGATACTTTCTTTTGTGTGGACGTGTATGTGTGGTAGGGAATTTGTTAAGCATTGATTACGCTCTGCTGTGGATGTTAACATGGATGGCTGGAGATGCATTGAGCATTGTGATGTAAAGTCTCTGCGAACAGGTCTGCGCTGTCATAAAAACAAAGGTAGGCATGCCAGTGTACGCATGAACCATCGCACCCAATTGCATCAGAGAGCAACTTGGGGTCTTTCCAAACCCCCCCAACCATCCATAAGGTTGAGTCCCTCAAATTTTCCTTTAGGAAATCTGCTCATATAATTCAGGACCAGACTAAGTCGAGAACTATTTCAAACCACGTCAGTTATGATCTGAAACATGTAAGGAGTCACTTAATTTTATGTTAAAGAACAGTATTTAAGCACAACAAGTGACAAGTAGTAAAGAAACCAGTACTAGTTGTATAAAAATGGCAGCCCAGTTCCTTTGAATGGAGGAATGTTCTCAGTTAGTGAATAGCACCATGTCAGAAAAAACGAGTCAAACACTGAAAAATAAAAGAGATACTGGATTTTACATCCTTTCTGCATGATAAAATATACACAAAACTGAAATATCAGTCACACTCAAACAGATGAAGTATGTCTGCAAACTCTGAGAACAAGCTCACCCTGACCCACATCACTCCTATTATTAATAGTTATCGACAGCTTGTACGCAGGTGAAGATGTTGAGCAGCGTGCTGTTGCACATTTGTAGGTCACCTGCATGAGAACAGGGTTGAAACGCTACCCTTGAAGTCTGTTGGCTCACCCACCACATGACTTTCATTACTGCAGAGGTTTGCTCTGACAAGAAACACAAGAACTGAGACACAGAGCACAAACTGATCTAACGTGTCAAAATCACAGCATCATACAGAGGGTAATAACATACATACAGAGGATTTGCTAACTTTGCTGAGCTGTGAAGTTCCTCATTTGACATTAAGGTTCTTTTTTGACTAAACCTTTGCTTTTTCAGTGACCTCTTATGGTGCTTCAAAACAGCTGTGTGGGTGCAGCAGTCGTTTGTTGTGCGTGTCTATTTTTTTCCCTTCTTCTGTTAAATGTCATCAAAATACCACAACCAATAATTCAGTTCATCATACACTTATTTTATACCTATGGGAAATATGGAAACTGCCGTTTATATCTGTTCATCCTGTATTCACCACACTCAGTAATTACTGAAAGTCATCCTGAAAAATTCACTATTTTCTCTCAAATTCTGAAAAATTCTGAATAAAATTCAGATGTGAACTAACAGATGAAATAAAAAAAATAAAAAAGAAATGGAAATTTGTGATTTGTGGCTGTTTTTTTTAAGGAAGTAAATTGCCAGAGACTATGTGGGGAAATTGGAACCAATGTTGACTTCAGTATTTCCACTGAAAGCAACAAAACGATAGAACATTTTCACTTTGGTTTATTAAAACACCCACTGAGCTAGCATTGATGCTGCATTCACTATAAACCCTCCATAGTGAGCTTTATTTATTTTTCCCAGAATATAAATAGAAATGACAGGTGTGAACACACTGTGTGCTATGCTTAGTTGTGGTTTCTGCTGTTTCTTTTTTAATGCTCCTGCAAATGAATTGTGGTCAGTGCAAAGAATGAACAGCTCTGCCTCTGAGCAGCAGACGTTCCAGTTTGTCTTGAGCATCTTGTTTCTTCTGCCCCGCTGTTAAACTTTTGCTGTTCATTCTTTAAGATAACACATAAGAGTTGATCTTAGTCGATATTTATGTGTAGATGTCCATCAGCAAACAAGGCTGTTTAAAAATCTTCACAGCTTTAGAACATAACAAAATGTGATGAATTCTTCTTTGTTATGAGCTTTTCGAAATGTTTGCCTCATACATTAATATATTTGTAACCTTGAAACTCTTAACTTTCTTAACTAGGCAATATCAGATAAATGTTATTTACAGGAAGTGGTTGTGATGACTGATGTTGTGTTGAAAACAACCTCTTTTCCCACCAGTTTTGTTTTCTTGGTTCATGCTTTCATTTTCACTGTACTTAAACACAGATGAATTCATATTTTGAGTATGATAATAAAGAATCCCCAGTGTTTCTCTGATTCTCTACACACTTAACCCTTACATGATGTTCTTATTGTATGTCTTCATAATGTGAATTCCCTCCTACTAAGAGTATACAATACATTTTGAACTGTAGATCAATTCATAAGGTCTAAATAGCTTATTTGATGTGAATATATAAATGATAAATCCTTAATTTATGTTTCAGAGAGCTTATTTAGATTGTGAAAATTCAAATGGGTTTGTTTTGTCTGTAAGCGTCACGTTAACTAACATATTCTTCTTTCTATTAATCAAACAATCGGCTTTAAATTAAAATATGCAATCCTATACCAGTCTACATACTTCAAAACTACATAATCATAAAGACAAAAACACGTTTGGTTGTGCAGGATCTCAGTCATCCTGGTCACAGTAGTCCAAGGGGCTTGGAAAGAAAGTTTTCCAAACTGTTTTGTGAAGACGTTTCCGCTCTCATCCAAGAGGATTCTTCAGTTCTAAAACCAAAAGGTGGAGCAGGTAACTCTGGTGGGGGTGCCCCTCAGGACGGTTGTTGACCCACTATTAATCATGTGCATCATCACATGAGCAAAGGTGTAAAAAAGGTTTCCGTCGTTATCACCAGAGGTTTCGGGTGAAAGCACTATGAGACCTTGCCTCATCCTGTCATGTGGTTTACTGAGGTCACCTGATGCAAGATGTCAGGGTTGAAGCGCGTAGAAGGGATGTCAAAACTGCATTGCGGGTGGCAGAGTTTTGTTTTGTAAGCCACCCACTCTGTTCAAAGATGGTCGCTCACAGCGGACGTAGATGGCCTCTTTCACTCATCTTTCAAACCATCTGTCTTCTCTGTGCAGCATGTCAACACTGGCATCCTCAAAAGAGTGACCTTTGACCTTTAGATGCAGAGTCTTGTACTGTTGAGGTGTCTCTTTTATTTTGTGCCATGCATTTATGCAGTGGATGTTTGGTTTCTCCACTCCTCGCTGCACTGCACAGCATACACTATGTTGTTTAGCTTGTGTTTTGGAGTCTTGCCCTTGGGATCAATCTGTTTTTGTCTGAGGGTGAGGCTTGATTTGAAGTGCACTGGGATGTCATGCTTGCAGTTTCTCTGATAAACCTGCTACATAAGGAATGACAGTGTTGTTCCGTTTGTAATGTGATTATTTCTGTTGTTATAACCACATGTTTTAAGAACTTTCTGTACCCATGTGTTTCTTTTCTTTCCCTTCTGGCTCAGAGGGAATCTTTTCTGCCTGATTACCCTGAGTTTGTGTTTCAGAGGGTGGTGGGAATCAAAAAAGAAGGTTCTGAGTTGGTTTAGAACATATAGCAAAGTAAATACTGCCGGGTCATTAAACATCTATCCATAAGTTATCTCTTTCACTTCCAAGTTTTTTAGGAAGTCCAAAAAGATTCCCAGGCCTTTTTAAATACTTTTGTTCATCCTTCAATACATGTTATTTACTCCAGTGGGAGAAGTGGTATCATTTGTCTCATTAAGTGCATAACACTTGATCTGTGAGTGCTTTTTCCTAAACAATGCTGTTGTCTTTCTGACATTAAACAACTGGAGTTTCTTTATGTTTGTTGATTTTTCATATATTTGTGTCGTCCTGGATACAAAAAGAAAGAATAGCGGAATTTCTTTTGAGATAATTTTGTCCCATCACAGCGGCCTTTTCCCCAAATTTTTCAATGTTTGACGCTGCCAAACATAGTAAAGCTAGCATGTATTTGCTGTGTATGTCTGATATTATTATATTATGAGGATTTAACCTGACATGAGTTGCATATGTTTACATTAATCATTTATAATTTATTAATTTGAGGTCTGTATTCATAGTCAGAACAAAAGCTGAGATTTCTGTTTCCTTGACCTTTGTTCCATGCATTTAACTCCTAATGTGTACAAGAAGAACTGGATATAAACAGATTTTAAAAACATAAACAGGATATAAAAATAGTAGAATTTTAAACAGTCTTTCATCATCTTTATTTCTGTGAGTGTTGAAGAATGTTTATGGAAGCAATTTTTCCCCCTCACACCTGAATAATTCAGATCATAGCTGTATTATTCAATACACATAAAACAACCCAAGCTATAAATAACTTAGAAGTACCACATTTCTCATGTATTGTTATTTGTTTGCTTACAGCTGAGGTGGCTGCTGCTACCCACACCTTGGTCACTGCCACACCTCAGCAGTATCCACAGCAGTACCCTCAGTACCCAGTACCCCCTCAGTCCTATCAGAGAGTGCCCTACCAGCCAGTACCAGGGCACCCTGGTTACCCAGCTATGCCTGGCAATCAAGCTGTGCTCATGACCATACCACTCAGCCATGAACAGCCATTTACGCCACCACCATCGTATCAGGATGCAAGTGAGTGTGGATTTGAACACTATCTATCAATCTATCGATCAATCGATCGATCGATCGATCGATCTAAAATATGTTTTTTAATGATTTATTATTATTCTAAGCAATCAGTTTGTTGAATGCTGCAAGGCTTACACAGAGTTCTTGCAGAAATGCACTGCACACCAACCTTGAGTAAATGGTGTCAAAGGTCTGCAGAGTTATTTTGCATTTTCTGCTCTTCTGAGTAACTGTAATCAGACACTAGAGTGGACATTGCTGCTAGATAATATTGATTCTTACATTACAGATCTTATGGCATTTTCAATCTCATGCCAACTTCTCTTTTTCCAGTTGGTCCCACCTATCCTCTGCAACCAATCAACCAATCTTCCAGCCAGCCAAAGCCTCCAGCCCAGCCACAGTCCAATGCTCTAACTGACAGCTCAGACTTCCTCGCCAGCTCGGCAAACAACCAGGAATTTGTTCTGCCATATAGGCTGGATTCTTAGTGTATCAATCAGACAGAAAATTTTTTACCACCTGTGGTTAATTCATTATTTAATTCAATTTGACAAACTAAGCCTTGTACACAGGGAAAGTTGTTGTTTGTTATGTTTTTTGTGTTCACACGGACAGAAGACTTCCCTGCTAAGGCGTTTATTTTTTGCCCCATCTTATAGCCTCATGTCCAAAATGGTTGGAAACGCTGTGCAAAATGTAAACAATTACTGAATGCAGTGATGTGCAAATAACATAAAGATCACATTTAAAACAATACAAAGACTTTGAGACTTTTTTCAAGAGAAATATCAAAGTGCTAACAAAAAAATAATTTGTAGTGATTACACAGGACACAGTCTCTGTATCATTGAAGCTTGATTTTTTTTTACCTAAATTTAATTTTTAGTCATAGAAGTGCTTCACTAAACACGTGACTTGGCTATAGAGCCAGCTACAAATAAAGACAGGTCATTTTCAAACTCCCAAAATATATTGAGGTTGAACATGCAGTTTGGGGGTCCTCTAGTGGCTGTGGCAGCTCTATTCATCTGCATAGTCCCCATATAAAGATCTGAAATTGTAAAAGCAAAATCTATGCAAAATAAAGGCATTCTTATAAATGACTACCTACAAATGCTTTTTCTCAGTAAGAAGCGTGACCGAGCTATTTTGTGCTAATGATTTTTAAAGTCATTTTCTTTTTTTCCCTCTTTTTACACAAAATTACAAATGAAACAGCACATAAACAAAAGTCCACTTGTATAAATATATAGTTAAGTTAAATATATATAACTATAAATAACTATAAATATAAATAAAAGAGTTCCTGTTGTGAGAATGTCAAAAATAAGGTTCAATGGCAGCATTTATTTTTTTAAAAAGGCACCCCAAACCATTTTGGATCATTTGAGTCAACAGCATTCACGATGACAGTTATTTACAGTTAGAAAGCAGAAACATATATTTGGAGGCAATGTAAATTACGCACATGCTTTCGCAGGTAATGTGCCTGGAAGGCACAATGGTTTCTTCTATTTAATGTGTGCAACATACTTGTATTATTATAAAAAACAATATTGTAGATGTTAATTAAGTTGATTTTGATTTTTTTTTAAACTATGAGTGGTTGACTTTCCAGCATAAATCCTCCAGTGATAAAACTCACACACTTTCATTTTGTACCCAGGAACTTACACAGTACAGTAAAAAACTCATTTTAATACTTTTACTTAGAAACTATTAAAATGCACCATAACATTCCTACAAATACATAAACCAAGTTAGTCTAGATCTTGATTCGAAGTACATACTTCCAATTCAGCCGAGTTCACAAACGCTGATTGAGGCACTTATATGTGCACTATCCAGCCTAGAGTGGTGGTGCAGTCTGAGGTTGGAAGGCTGTGCTAGCAGGTGGTGCATCAGGCTGCTGCTGGTCCAGAGGTTTCAGAGGGTACGTCGGCTGTGCATGGGTGAATTCAACCTGGCCTGTGAACTGTAGGCAGAACCAACTGGAAACAGAAAGTGAACTAAGCATGAGAACAAACATACTGAGAATGATTTGACACACCTGCACAAACAACAACTGCAATTCTGCAACACAACAATAAATATGACGCAGCAGCATTTCCACCCTATTATGTTATTACAAATATTTTGAAAAAATAAAATATACAAAATGTATTTGTGATATCTGCAAATAAAATGTTTTTTTGTTTCTAGAGAGTGGCATGTGTAATAAGTTATCTTATCCTAAAACCCCTGTTTCCTACAGAAATCTACAACCCTAAAATATCTTTTTTTTTGGACATTTATGCTAAGACATTTATGAGATCTTTGAATTCAAAATCCGATTTTTTTTTCCCTTTTTTTTTTCTTTTTTCTGCATTTTTGGTGTTTGTCAGGGTGTTTCCATTAGTATTTACACAGATGCAAAGTTTTCTCACTTGCTTCCAGGTGGTCCCAGTGGGAATGGCTGTCCATGATAGGGCGATGTGGACATGGCTCTGAGCTGGGTAATCATACTGAGCTGCAAAGCAAGGGCTGAAGAGTTGCTGACTGGTAGGGCACTCCCTGGGAGGGTCCAGGTAATGCAATCGGCTGCTGGGGGTACTGCTGAGGAGTGGTGGTGACCACTGTAGTGTGGGTATTGTCGGCTACCACAAGTACAAGAAAACAGAAAATGTAGAAACATGTCACCTGTTGTCCAAAAAGCTTTCAGTGTGTATTATTATTTATAAGTAATTTTCTCAGGAAGAAAGACTGAATATGACTGAAAATGAAAGAAAATACAGCAGCAAATGGCGCGATTTTGACTTATTGCATCAGTTGAGTCATTTATCATCATCTCCTTGAGGTTTGCATCAAAGAAACTAACAATGACATGATTTGTTCATGAGATACACAGAGATTCATACTTTTTGAAGAAAATCATCCATTAACCATCATTATACTCAGAGTGTAAACCCATCTTTGTGAAAGTACAGTGCAAATTATCAACCCAACCACACTAGATTTGAAATAACAGTAACAATCGTCTGGGAAGACAGACAGTACTCAACAGGATCAGTTTATTGCTGGCTGTGGTCTTGAGATTTGAGAGAAGAAGAAAAAAAATACATAAGCACACTGTTGTGGTTTAATAGAAAAACTGATAACAACAAAAAACACCCACACAGCTGTTTCGAAGCACCTTGAAGCACTGAAAGCAGACCCAGATGTCAAGTAACGACATGGCCCTTAAAGTGAAACGAACAAAGCAGCATCAGCGTGCGTATCCCACAGGCTGATGGCACGCTCAGTCGTCAACCTGTGGGTTACGCTCTCACAAAAAGAAAATTACTGAAAATCAAAATGTTGTTTAATAAGCCAAACCAGGACAAATGTCAAATGAGCTTGACAACTCACTGTATATTGTAGTTTGAAACATTAGAACAGGTTGTGTTCGGTGTCTCAATTCCTTTATTACAAAATCATTGGTAAAACATTGCTGTTGCTTCATGTTGGCAGTCATTGCTGAAATGTTTCAAACAATGCAACTTGTCACCATAAAATTAGAAGTTTCTCCCAATGCTGTGATAAGGTTTATGAGTAGTAATGAATGTATGAAATGTATGAAATAATGAAGAGATGAGTTTAGATGCTGTTATAGATCTGTAGCTCAGGGTATCTACTAACTGGAAGGTTGGGGGATCAATCCATGGATGCTGCATGGCAAAGTATCCTTAGCAAAGATACTCAACTCCACTTGCTTATTTTTATATGAACCAGCAGCAGTTCAAGTTGATTCAGGAGGTAAACAAAACAATCAGTGTGCTGAAATGTCTCCTGATATATAACATGAAACTTTCTATCAGTGAATGATGATTATAATGCTGTTGTCTTAGTTGTCTTTTTAATCTCTGATAGACGATGGACAGAATATTAAGTTTTGTTAATTAAAGCAATTCTTAAAAAGTCAAATGTTGTCATGTAAGCACTTTTTTTAGGTTTTATCTGATCTTTTAGCCACTAAATATTAATAAAATGAGGAGCCGCGCCAATAAATCGATATCTGAAAATCAATAAATCTCAGAAAAAAGTCAAATTTGAGACCCTGAAACATTTTAAACAACAAGGCAGTCAAACTTGCACAAAATAACAGCCTGCAACTCTATATTTAAGGCCTTGATTATCCTTCCCATGTCTGCAAGGCTCTTTGGATCTGACGTACACAATCTGATGTAAATTCCATCATAGGACAGTGAGCATGAGGGTCCATGTGGACATCCGTGTGCCTGCCAGTTGTCTATGACTGCACAGACTTGTCTGCAGAGACTTTAAACTCAACTAACACTTGGGTGACCATTCAGTCTGAGTCCACATAAGAGTCCAATACTCAGGATTTAAAGGATCACTCTAAAATAAGGAAGTATCAGTTGTTAGTGGTGGAGTACTTACGCCGTGGCTGTCGGAACCTCTTGTACAGGCAGCAGGAGGGAAAGACAGCAGCTGATGAGGTTGAAGATTAACGTAAAGGCAAAGAAAGCGAACACTACAGCAATGGCAGTGGGTAAAGTGAGTGTGTGAACGTTGTTCAAACTTAAAAGGAATCAAAGAAGCGATTATGCAAAATCCAACACAGAAAAAAAACAGTTTTGAGTGATTTGTTCACCAGTTTCTGCACTTTTAAGATCTTTCCAGAATTATAATAATAATAATAATAATAATAATAATAATGGATTGGATTTATATAGCGCTTTTCAAGGCACCCAAAGCGCTTTACAATACCACTATTCATTCACTCTCACATTCACACACTGGAGGCAGCTACAAACAATCCAAACAACCAAAGTGCGATAAAAACATATTGAAAACACTGAAGTTACAAAGGATCCAGTTACAAATGTGACGAATATGAACAATTAATTCAAACAGAGGATACATGCATATTCAACAGAGTCATATTTTAACCAAGTAACAACTTGTATAGGGCAGTACGTGCGCTCCCTCTGACCATCAGTCCAGTCTTGACTGATCTTATATATATATATATAATTTATATTTTTCCCTCACTGATTGTGGTTTTTGTTGTTTTGTGTTGTTATGTTATGTTTGTTTAAATGTTCAAAAATAATAAAACTTTGATTGTTTAAAAATCGTTATATTCATTATATTTATACAAAATTAAACTTCCAAATGATGATTATTATAACCTTTAAAGATTTGTATTTCTTTATGCCTGCTGCTTTACATCGTATATAATGGGTTTGCCTGTACTTAATCACCTGGCAACTTGAGTTACCATAGCTTATAGCATTAGAAAATACCCAGACATTGACACTGGTTAACATTCAGTGTGTCCGTGTGAGTATTATGTTTAAATGACTGCATTAAACAAACTATTTATTATAAGATTTAAAGCACAAAACTGCAACTTAAAACAATAATAATAACACGGTAGCGGCCTGTTTAGTATTGGTATGAAGATGACATCACACACTGATTGTCTGTGATTTATCTAATGCAATGTACAGATTAAAATAATCAAACTTACTGGATACACGAGGGGACAGGATCAGAGAGTGAACACAACAATATGGGACACCACCGGTGCCATGGTTACTCCCGCATTCCCCAAACCAGTAAAGGAACTGGGAACCTACTGCGATACTCTTAGAGGAAAGGTTTGATTTGATGTTCGGTCTGATCGTTAACTCGGTTCGTGTTCCAGTCCACTGGCAGACTTTCTTCATTCACAAGTTATCATACATCATTCACCCGTAAC